CAGGTTGGAAATCACTCAAAATGTAACTGAGGAAGAGCTGCCTCCTTAAAGTAGAGGTAACCCTAATGATGTTGAGGGAGTAAAGTTTTGGGGACATTCATTTGCTGATTTGGCACAACTCAAAATGAGAAGAAATAGCTGTGAGCATCCATTAAAAATTGGAACATTTACTGGACTGGTATTGGCCATTTTGAATCAGACAATCATATGTTCTATCCTGGGAATGACATATTGAAGAGGAATGGCATCATATTCATCCTCAAAAGATCTATCCTGAAGTACAATGCTGTCAGTCATAGGATAATATCCTTACACCCACAAGGATGCCCAGTTAATACAACTATTATTCAAATTTACACATTAACCACTAAAGCTAAAACTAAACTGAAGATTTTTACCAACTCCTGTGGTTCAAAATTTACCAAACATGCAATCAAGATACACTGATAACTACTGGTGTTTGGAATGTCAAATCTGAAAAAAAACAAGCATTGGAAAATATAGCCCTGATGAGAGAAATGATGCCAGACATGACATGATAGAATTTTACAAAACCAATGACTTATCTATTGCAAATACCTTTTTTTCAACAATCTAATGTGAACCTCAATATAGGAATACACAGGAATCCAATCGACTACATCTGTGAAAAGGGACTATGGAGAAGCTCAATATCAAGAGTCAGAAAAAGGCCAGGGCCAACTGTGGAAAAGACTACAAACTGTTCATATGCAAGTTTAAGTTGAAGCTGAAGAAAACTAAAACAAATTCACGAGAGCCAAGATACAACCTAGAGTATATCCACCTGAATTTAGAAACCATATGAAGAACAGATTTGATGCACTGGTGTTCAGTGCATTCAAAGACTGAAGACCAGAAGAGTCATGGGATGACATCAAGAACATCAACATGAAGAAATCAAAAGGTCATTAAAAAGGCAGAAAAGGAAGAAAAGACCAAAATGGGTATCAGTAGAGACTCTGCAACTTGCTCTTGAATGGAGAGTAGCTAAAGTGGTTGGAAGGATGGTGACATAAAAAAGCTGAAGAGAAGATTACAAAGGGTGGCTCCAGAAGACAAAGAAAAGTATTATAATGATATATGCTAAGACTTGGGTGTAGAAAATCAAAAGGGAAGACCACACTTGGCTTTCATCCAGCTGACAGAACTGAAGAAAAAATTCTGGCCTCCAGTTGCAATACTGAATGATTCCATGGGCGAGATACTGAACAATGCAGGAAGCCTCACAAGGACATGTAAGGAATACATAGAGTCACTGTAGCAAAAAGAATTGGTTGTTATACAGTCATTTCAGGAGGTAGCCTATGATCACGAACTCATAGGACTAAAGAAAGAAGTCCAAACTACACTGAAGGAATTGGCAAAAAAAACAAAGCTGCAGGAATTGATGGACTACCCATTGAAATGTTTCAACAAATAGATGCAGTGCTGAAAGCACTCACTCATTCATGCCAAGAAATTTGGAAAACAGCTATCTGGCCAACCAACTGGAAGAGATCCTTATTTGTGCCCATTCCAAGAAAGGTAATCCAACAGAATGTGGAAATTATCAAACAATATCATTAATATCACAGGCAAGTAAAATTATGCTGAAAATAATTCAAAAATGGTTCCAGCAACAGATTGACAGGAACTGCCAGAAATTCAAGCCAGATTCAGAAGAGGATGTAGAATAAGGGGTATCATTTCTCATGTCAGAGGATCTTGGCTGAAAAGCAAAGAATACCAAGAAATGTTTACCTTTTATTAACTATGCAAAGGCATTTTACTTTGTGGATCATAACAAATTATGGATAACATTACGAAGAATGAGACTTCCAGAAAACTTAATTGTGCTCATGAGGAACCTGTACATAGACCAAGAGGCAGTCATTTGAACAAAACAAGGGAATACTGCATGTTATAAAATCAGGAAAGGTGTGTGTCAAGACTGTATCCTTTTACCGGACTCAATCTGTATGCTGAGCATATAACATAAGAAGCTAGGCTATATTAAAAAGAACAGAGCATCAAAACTGGAGGAAGACTAACAACGTGTGATATGCAGAGAACACAACCTTGCTTGCTGAAAGGAAGATGACTTGAAGCACTGATAAAGATCAAAGGCTACAACATTCTGTATGGATTACACCTCGGCTTAAATAAAACAAAAATCCTCACAACTGGACCAATAAGCAACATCATGATAAATGCAGAAAAGATTGGAGCTGCCAGGCATTTCATCTTACTTCAATCTATAATCAATGCCCATAAAAGCAGCAGTTAAGAAATCAAATGATGCACTGCATTGGGCAAATCTGCTGTAAAAGAACTCTTGAAAGTGTTAAAGAACAAAGATGTCATTTTGATGAATGAGGAGCAGTTGATCGGAGCAATGGTATTTTCAAAAGACTCACATGCATGTAAAAGCTGGACAATCCATAAGAAAAACCACAGAAGAAGTAATGCATTTGAATTGTGGTATTGGCAAAGAATACTGAATATGCCACGGACTGCCAAAAGAATGAACAGATATGTCTTGGAAGAAGTACAGCCTGAATACTCCTTAGAAGTGAAAATGGCCAGACTACATCGCTCATATTTTGGTCATATTATCAGCAGGGACCACTCACTAGAGAAGGGTATCATGCTTGATAAAGGAGAGGGTCAACAAAAAAGGGGAACACCCTCAGTGAGATGGACTGACACAGTGGCTGCAACAATGGGCTCAAGCACAGCAATGACTATCAAGATGGCACAGGACTGAGCAGTGTTTTCTTCTGTTGTACTAGCATCACTATGAGTTAAAACCTACTAGACGCACCTAACAAGCAGTGCTGTGGTCCCTGCTTCCCTGATGATGGCTGAGGTTCTTGTTTTCATTTTCTAAATCTAGCATGGTAGCACCCAACCTAGTCCACCTCTGACCTGTGGGTCACAGATGGGAGCTGGCTTGCCCTGAAGCTCATATGGAGACTCCAGGTTAAGAACTCAGAGACCAGAGAAATAAGGTGGAATGGGCCCTCTGCAGACTCAGCGACACCAGCATAATTGTTAATGATGGTAAATGCATTTGTCACTGATTCTCTTCCACAATAAGCACAATGCAATGCACTGCTGTCAAGTAGGATCCAACTCATGGCAACCCCTCCTTGGGTTTCCAAGATGGTATCACTAGGGAAGTAGATTGCCCAACCTTCCTTTCAAGGAGGGGCTGGTGGGTTTGAACCGCCAGCCTTCTTGTTAGCAGCCAAATGCCCTACACACTACGCCACCAGAGCTCCCCTTTTCCACAATACTAAGGCTTTAAGAGATGTATCACCTAGAAATTTCACAGCGAAAACTTACTCTGTTTGCTCTTCTACTTTAAGATATAAAGCTGCTCAGCTGCTCTCTTTGGTTATAATTTATCAGAAACAAGGCTATGTTGATCACATTATTAACTTCTCAGATGTTTTGAAAGTATTTGTAAACTGAAGGTTAATTGCTTTGAGGAACCATAGCCCCATTTATGCCATACTTCCAACATTTATATCTGAGACTTGATATAATTTAAACTTTAAATAGAATCCCTTTGTACTGGAACAGATCTTCAGGGATGTAGGATTTGTTGTTGTTGCTGTTAAGTTGAGGGATGTAGAAGAGACACATAAATATTCCTTGGTGGCACAAGGAGTTAAGAGCTTGGCTACTAACCAAAGAGCGGTGGTTCAAATCCACCCAGAGGCACTTCAAAATAAAGATCTGGTGGTGTACTTCTTTAAGGTGTACTTCCCAAGGTCACAGTGATCAGGAAAAAACCCTATCTGCAGTTCTACTTGAAACATATGGGGTCTCCATGAGTTGGAATTGACTCTATGGCAAATGATTTTTTGGTTTAGAATGATAGTATTATGAGGAATTTTTAATTTATAGCATCAATTTACCTTTAAGTTTATACATTTATTATTAGTTAAATTATATAGAAAACTACAAATCTATCTCTATAAAACAACTATACCTTATATATCTTAAAAGAAATGGCATCGAGGATTCCAAGATGGCGGAATAGGAAGAAAGACTGCACCGACCCTCTTCAACAAA